GAATATTCTAGACTTCATTTGTAAAACAAGAACACAATGACTATTACTAACATGGATTTTAAAAAGGGAGTCTTGAAACATCTTTCGTAGTATAATAAATACTTCTCCCCATTCATCCACCCGTAACAATGCTTGCGCACTCACTGTGCGCTCGCCTCTGTGATCACGCTTGGTTTCACAGTAGGGAGCAACAGGTACGGCCCAGCTTGCAGGGAGCTTACAGTCTGATGGGGAGAACAGATACGACGCAAGCAACAAAAGAAACAAGTACACCTTCCTGGAGGGTCATAAATCAAAGTAGGTGTCTTTGTTGCATTTCTTTAATGTGATAGATCGTGAACCACAAGGAAGGTTCCTACTGGCATCCATGTTTCACGTTCCAACAGTTAACCTTTCATAAGGATTTCCACTCAGGGCATTGATTGGCTGTGCAGAGGTTCTCAGAGGGCAAGAGCTACTGTCTGCCTGCTAAGTAAGCTCAGAGCATCAGTTCTTTCATGATCCTTGGATGTAATGGATGCCAATAGGAATAATGACTTTAACCTATTCCAGAGAAAAGTCAAGGAATTGACCATTGGAAGCTGACAAACTTCTATTTGATTGAATATGCATTCTCCAAATGGTTTTCTCTGAAGTAAATGTTTTTCTAATTAGGCTTAAAAATGTGAAAATTTCTTGCAAAATTGATTTTCTATTAAGGCTCTAAAGTAGTTTCTCTTCCCTTCTGCTTGGGTACTAATTAAATTATGTCCCAACTTGTTTTAATTCGGCAATCAATTTTTTTTTTTTCTGTTTGCACTAGATTGCAGAATCTCATTTAAAAATCACTCTTTAACTAATTCTGCACAAAGTAGAGGTGATAGACTTATGCTCTAATGGAGACAAACCTGGACTGATCAAGTCATGAGAAAGACTTGCTCAAGAAAATAAAAAAGACTTAATTGTACCCTGGTGGTACCTATTTCTTATGCTGTCTTTAAAGATAAGAAGCAGTAGTGGAAGGCATGGGGCTGAAATGTACATTAAAAAGAAAAGGAACCAAATGCTAAAATGAAGAGTTTAAGTTGTTTTTAAAGAATATACCTGATGCGGGGGCTCAGGACAAAGATAATTTCTAAAATGATCATTAATAAAAATTACTTTAAAGAAGAAAAATGGAGTCATAGCTATTAATTGTAACATTTAAAGCAATTAGGTGAATGTTTTAAATTAATGAATTATTCTGAGTATGAAGTCTGGTTTCAAGTTTGAGGAGTGGGTGGCATATTTTTTGAATGATTAAAAAGAAAAACCTCAAAAATTCAACATAGCCTGAGACTGTACATATGAGAAGCATTTTGCAAATGGAAAAACTGTATTTACTGATTATAAAGGATGGTTTTTGGGGCCCTATGCTGCAAAAGGGAAAATGAAGAAACAGTTTTATATGTAAGTATCTCTTGAAACTCAGAGGATATACATTTCTGTTTTAAAGAAACAAAAGAAGAGAGAGGGTTAGCTGTGTGCAAGGTGAAATTGCATCTTCATCTATTGGGAGGTGGGCAGATGGAATGAGAAAGAGTGGTTAGTCATGCAGCATTTAAAAAAAAAAAAGGCAAGTGAAGTTAAACTGGTAAGGTGGCTTTGATTGTGTTAGAGAAATGTTATCAAGTCCGAATGGAAACCCCACCAGAGATGCTTTTACTAGGCACTGGCATCTACCAGTGGGAGCTGTGTGCTTGTTAGGGCTATTTCTGGCATAGCTTATCTCTTCAACACCCCTATGTTTTAAACATGGGCTTAGTAACTTTCAGATAAGGCTCCTTCCCATTTTTTCCTAAATTGTTTGCATATTTAATTCATCACTAAAATAACACATAATTACATAACTTATATAATTGCTTTATCATCTTATGACCTCTATGTTTTTCAACTTTCTGGCAACAAAGCCTACCCCATTCTATCAAAATCACAGGGCTGGATCTTAGTGGGCTGGATTTAAGCTGTTTAAATCCAAGTCTCTAACTGAACAGACTACTAGTATTAGTTTAGTGTCTAGATTCCAAAGCTGTTTGTTGAATTCCCTTTTCTTAACTTTGGTATCTTTCACTCATTGTGACATTAAAAACAACACTGCTAGATGAAATCAAAATGAAAATCATGAATAAAATTGTTCATGTAAAATAGAAAAACAAGTTCCTTAAAATCATAAGACCCAAAGTCAACTTAAGACTTCAATTTATTCACACAAGTATAATTTTCAGCCATTAATGATGAGCATGAAAAGATAGAGCACATATCAGTGAATATAAGTAATGGGCTTAGTAACTTTCCTTTATAAAATGTAATTGGAATCTGGTTTATTATGAGGAAGTTTAGACCTGGGTCTGTCTAGTCATCCAGAGATACTTTATAGGTTGGACATCTTTTTGTGAGGTTTCTGTATCATGATAAAAAGAGATACTCAACTGAAAACTAAAAATTACTGTTCCCAAGTAGAAGTTAAAGAGAAAAGGCTCCAGAGTGTAAGAATGTAGTTGTAGAATTATTTCCCATTAAAAACTTTCAGAGAAAAAGAATGGAGAAGTACAAACGGGAGGAGGGAAAAGAGTAAAATGAATAGAGAGATGAAAACACAAGAAAGAAAGAACACAAAAAAGGCTGGTGAAGAAGAAAGAATGAGATCCCTTGCCTGTTGAATACCGACCACATACCAAGCTCTATGCTGCGTGCTTTATCCTATTTAATGTGTAAAATAAGGTGATAGATAATATCGGGCCATTTCTAGATTACAAAACTAAATTTTAAGAGAGTTTGGGTGACTTGTACTGTGTCTCTGAGTGAATAAATGGAATCTGTCAGACGTGGAACCCAGGAGTGTTTGATCTTAAAGACAGGACTTTTTCCAGAAACCTGTCTAGTGGGCAAATAAACAAGCCAAAGACTGGAGAGGGGGGAAAGTGAGACAACACTACACTCCATGGAGGCAGGAGAAATGTCTGCTCTCTTTAGTTTTTCTTTTCTTTTCTTCTTCTTCTTCTTTTTTTTTTGACACACCACAGTTCTAGGAAGTTAGCAACGTGTAGTAAGTATTTGCAACATGAGTATTTTTGAATGAGGTGACAAAAGTCTTAGGGAGAGAAGACATGATGGAAGAAAGAAATAGAGAGCAAGTGAAGTGGCGCGATTAAAAACGTGATGCTTTTTGGACAGCCTCCCTAACCTTTCAGATCCTAGAGTCAAACCTGGCCACTCAGTGTCAAGTGTCAAACTCTGCCACATTCAAAGTTTTTAAGAGAGGAAAACTGCTTGATGCCTTACATTCACTTAACCCAGGGAAAAAAGGTTTGCTAACTTTTCTGAAACCCAGTGGAGTGTGATCTTGGGATCCCAGGCCACTTGCTAGCTACAGGTGGAGGAAAGGACTGTGAGCCGTGTTCTCAGGACAGGTGGGCCTCGTGAAGCCAAGTGGGTCCTCACCTGATCTGCACCAACAAGCCAACCAATAGCCAGTCAGTTAATACAAACCTATCAGTTAATAAATATCTGTGGTCTCATTTTGTCCCCCAGCAGCAAAGAATTTACACAGTCAAACATGTCAATAAGATAGAAAAACTCAAGGAAACAGCTCACTATTTATTTAATGATGAGAAACATGATTGAATGAGTAAATGTTTCTCTCTTCATACAAATTTATGAATTTAATATTGGATTTAATATTGATATTAGTCTGCTCATAAGGAAGAACTACTTACAAAAAAAATTTGTTAAATTTAACAACTCAGTATTATCCTTGGGTGGTTCTTGAATAGCCACAGTGCAGCTAAATCTATTTCAATATCCAAGAATCTAATGTTGACTAACTTGTTTGATTAAATTAGGCATATTTCCTTCCAAGAAGAAAGCAGAGCTTAGCTCAAATAAGTTTGACTCCTTTTGTACAACCAAATAATAATTTTAGGGTAGTAATAAAATTCAATTTCCGTGTAGCGATCAGCAAACCTGCTCTAAATTCTCACTTTGTTACATTGGTCACAGAAAACTGTAGTGAGAAGATTCCTGGGTGATAGGCTTGCTGAGTTCCTCTGAAGGCTTGGGTCACTTTCTGATCTCCCTGGTGGCCCCACAGTGACCACATGTCACAGAATCCTAGGTGTCTAGGGAGCCTAGATGATGGAGGCCCTCAGCAGCCCTTTGGCTAATTATAAACACATGTCAGGAAAATGTCTGGAAAAGGAGTTGCTTTAGGAATTCAGAGAAGCTAAGAGTTATCTGCTTTTCGACTGTTGGCCTGTTGACACATTCTCACAGAAGAACCCTAGTGCTAAGCCGGCCTAGCATAATCAAATCGAACTGATTATTACGTAGTTTAAATATACTAAGGATATTGAACTTCTCTTTTTAAGTCACAGAAGAATCCTGGGCTAAACTATTAAAATGGGAAAAACAACGTGAAGAGTACTATAAAAATGCAAGCCATTTAAAAAATGGATTTAATATCAGCCTTTGCAAATTACATTTGATGTTTCACCCGTCATGCTCTGCTCACTTGGGAGAAACAATGAACTGTCTGTGAATGAGGACACAATCAAGGAAAAAGTGCTATTTTATTTCTTTTTAATAGCTATATAACCTCTGTAGAAAACACAAAATGATTGCAGAAAAATACAAAAAGGAGAAGATGATTTTTCATTGTCCTTTTAAAAAGATAGACGTGTGTGTGCATGGCATTGTGTAAGCTTTTAGAAACAGACGGTGTGTGTGTGTGTGTTTGAGCATGTGTCAATCCAAGGAGTTATCTACAGACCCAGTGCACAACTCTCTCTTTTCTTTCAAGTAAGACCCAAGAGACCTGCATACTTTTTAACAAGGTCATGCAATCCCCTGGCCCTATTTTGCCAGCTGTCAGCAGCTGGGGGTGCACATCACTCTTTGTAATGACCGTCTCTCAATAGGTTACTATGTGAGCAGCAAGTGGCAAGTACAGCTTGTCATACTGGAAATACTAATGCTTTCCTTACCTCTTCCTTCTCGGCACTCTGCAGATCACGCCACTCCTCCGTTACGTGACCGAAATCCACTGTGTTCATGGGGACTTTAAATTCCCCAATGATGTCATGCTTGGAGAAACGGTCAAAATCATACACCGCCATCACAAGTGTCTTGCCGCCCAATTCCGAATACGGCACCTAAACAAAAAGAGACGTGGGTGGAATATCTGGTCACAAATATGCTTAAATCATGTTATTTGTTTATAGTGTTTAGATTTACTGTTAGATACACAGGACAGGAAGATAACTGCGCTTTTCTTTTTTTTCTTTTTTTCCTTAAATGGAATCATTTGACTAACTCCTTGAGGTTTATATTCCTTGGGAGAAAATAGGGATTTACCATAGTGGTTTATCATTTTATCCCCAAGTTCTAGAAGCTGTTACTATTATTAATAATGGATCCTATTATTAGTCATGTTATAAACACTTCAAGATTAATACAAGAATAAGCCTAGCCAATAGCACTTGATTGTATAAATAAGTTCTTGTAGAATGTTTTGTTGTTATTGTTATGCTAAGTTATATTGCCAGCATGTAACTTACTGAGGATAGATACCTTGTTTCAAAAGTTCTATAAACTCTCTCCAGCCATTTGGATGCCAGTTTAATGGAGCAGGGATTAGAAAAGGTATGCTAGAAGTCTGAAAGGATGTAAATGAAATGCACAAGGTGCCTCACTACTCCTTAAAATAATTTAGTGATTGACAAGAACTGACTAAAAAATTGATATTTTGAATATCAGAGATGCATTATAATACAGATCTTGAAGTTCATTCTTAGGTATAACACTCTTTAGGACGAATGGTGGCAAAAGGCCAAGAACTGATGAATTCTCCAGCTGTTCAGATATATCTGGGACAGATGCTATGGGTTGCGATGTTTATTGTGACATTTTTAATATTCAGGGAAAGCAGTGCAATCCAAATGTGTCACACTTCAGTAACTGGGTAGAAATACCTAATTAAGAAATTATTTAGACTTGTATTGAAGGTTTGATCAATTTCATACACTTCCTAGTATTTTATCAGTGTAAATGGTTGTCTTATGCTCCAGCAAACATTTCTCAATTAAGACTGTATATTAAGATGAGGAGAAAAAAAATATTTGACAATGTATATGTATATGTATGTATATACCAGAAATTTTAGTTTTTCTGAAGAGTTTCTGTTTTCTGTCACTTATTTGTCATCTATTTGGAATCTGATTTAAAAATTGTGATTAAAAATGAGGCACAAAACCTTTCCCATTTTAGAAGGAAAAATAAACTGAAGGAGATGAATTTGAAAGGGAGAAATAAGAAATTTTAGAGCAGTGATAAACTCCTGAAAAAATTCAGCTTACGTCTGAAATCTCTCTAGATGTTTTGGTGATTATATTGAAATACTATCATTTAAAAATGGCGAGGCAGGCCTGGACCTGGGTTTATCCACTGTCCAGCTGAAGGGCGTGGGGGAAGTGAATGAACTTCACCTTTCTCACCTATCAAACACTCATAACAATGCGGCGTATGGCACAGGGCAGTGTGAGCTGAATGCGTACATGTGCGGCACAGTACAGTGTTGGCACAGTCGGCACATAATAAGTACTTAAGGTTTGAATGATTAGGGGCTTCTTCAAATAAGAGTTCATTTGGGGGAAAAGAAGAAGTATTTCTTGGGACATGTGGAGCTCATGTTAAGTGGATTTGAACTCAATTTTAAAGCCCATATTTTTTAAACTATCATACTTATGTTAATCATTCCTATATCATAGTGCATTGGCATTTCAAGATGCATAATCTATGATATCTACTGGAGAAATCAACCAATTCTCTAGAAAAATCTTATAAATGAATCAAAATATATCACCTTTTTGATTGATAGTTAGATCCACCTTCTTCAAATAAAAAGGAACCTAATAGAATTTTGTAGGCAATTTCAAAATTTTAATAACTACACTTTCTGGAGTCACAGAAATTACTAAAAATTACTAGCAACACATTTTTTTAAAGAAATAAAACACAGGTGACTGAAAACAAAAACAGAGTTTCACAGTATTATTTTAAATAATGAAAAAAAATCTTACTAAATTGTGGTTAGAAACAGTCGACCTAAATTGAGATTGATACATAGTCAAATAGAATGTGGTTACCACTTGCAATACTTTTTAGTTTCATTTTCATCTCATGTTCTGTGGTATATGGGCCATAGTGATTAGCTCTGCATAAGCTGAATAGTACCAGAATGTTTTTACTGCTACTCCAAATTAACTATCAAGGTATAGAAAACTGTAGGTTTAAAATAGGATAACTGACAAATACACTGGGGCTTTTTGGCTTAACTCAAAAATTTTCAGAGTGAATAGAAAGACTGCTCTTCTGCAGAACTGGAAACAAGACTTGAGGGCATGATGCCCTCCGCTGAGGAATGCCTTCTGTTCCACCCATTTATTTCATACCAGAATATTTACTAACATGAGGCACATGCTATCATTAGGCTGGCTGAAGGATCAGCCTGTCTGCATAGTAAGACATTTCATTTTTTAGAAATGTATTGTTTTAAGTATGTATTTAGAAAACTTTTACATATTGATGATATCCACCAAAGCTGTTTTCACGCATGACTTCAAGACAAGGGCTACAGGAGCTCCGTGCGTGCAGAGGTGCCTGAGGCCTGCCTGAGCACGTTCTCCTGCTGACTTAGTATACGGCCAGAAGCCCACTTTGTTTATGTTTGTCAACTGAGGTGTCTTAACAAGATGAAGGACAACAGGGAAGAGCCTAGAGTAAAGGAAAAATGCTAGAAATGCAGAAAAATAATCGGTTTATATTCGTTTTCCTTGCTGGGTCAAGAAGAATGGTCTTAGAGCTTTCAAACTGCCTCTGCACATATAGAATTTTGCAATGAGAGTAATACTTACCTGGACCATTAAAACAATGGAACATAGCTTACTTTATTATGTGATTGTGGCTTATTTTTAGGAACTTTGAAACTTAAAAAATAGTTATTTCATTATTTCGTTGGCTTTATTTTAGATAGGGGGTAATGTTTAAGCCTGTAGGCACAATTGAGGCCGACCTCCCTTTTTATCTGCAAATGATATCTAGCTGTACTTCAGTCTATATTCTATTCTGAAATGGCCAAGCTGAATCCTCCTTTGACCAAACCTAAATGCAGTTAAGAATCCTCACTGGACTGAGGATAAGAATTAAAAGTATTCTGAGTAGAATCATTTGTCATTCTGAACAAATGGACATGTGCACATCGCTGTCTGTGTCAGAATGAGATCAACATTTCATCTAAAATGACAGAGGAAGAGTTATTAATAAGGACAAAAAAATACCTTGAACGTAAATTGCTCATTGAAGACAGGATTAAGGGTCTTGCGGTGGACTTTCGTCTCAAATTTCTTCTTTTTGTCGGGCAGCAGAAACACTTTCACGTAGGGATCGGATGTGCCCCCCATATCCAGGGCGGGCAGCTCTGCAGCCTGGATGATCCCTACCAGCAGCTAAAACGACAGACAGAGCGCAGTCAGCACAAACACTGCGCAGTTTGAAAATGACTGATTCGTTCACAATGCTGTATATTGGGTTCCCCTTCCTCCTTTGCTTTTAATAAACTTTTATTCTCTTATGAATCTGAGCAGAGAAGGCAAATGAAGTGAGCTCCGTAGACTTTAGAGACCCAATTATGACAGACGCTGACTCTAGAAAGCCAGGTTTTAAGCACAAAAGAGGCTTTTAAAAGGTTGCTGATTAGAGTTAAATATGGAATTCATATTTGCAAAAGGATTGCAATCAAATAACTTCCCAGTTGCTAAAAGCCCTTGTGCATTATTTTTCTTTCCAGGGCATAATTTGTAAGTGGAAATAAATTGTTAAACAATCACAAGTCTGTAATTATAAAGTAGGAAATTTTTATTCTGAACCACAGTCTCAGACCAGCTAAATAGACATTTCTCAGAAACTGAGATAAAAATAAGATCTTCAAATTTCTGTCATATTTGACCTTTACTATATGCTGGCTACTTCTTATTTTCATTTATAGTAAAACTATATATTAAGCTCTATGTTTAAATGTAAGACATGGAGTCAAAGAAATATACCTCAGTGCCTAAGATTCTGATTTTATCCTCCCAAACACAGCAGAAATCTTTTCATTTCTTCATGTCTGTTTTCTCAGTGATACATTCCTGTGCCTTATTAGGAATGCAAGTGTAGGCTACCTTGTGAATGTTTTTGCAAAGGACACAGAAGGTGTGAGTGGACTAATCTAGGTGCCCTGCCATCAGACATGTTGTGCCAAAGGACTGGTTTAGACCCTTATGAGAAACAAAAGTAGGCTCTCTTACTGTTGTTCAAGGTATATACTGTTCACTAAATGCAGTCGCATCATAGCTTTTCACATTAGAGCCTAAAATTTTGAGTCTGTGACTATTTAGACAAGAGAATGGAAAAGCAATTCACCTCTCTAAAAAAGAATAAAAGTCATTTGTTTTCTATAAAACTGACTCACCATATTCATAAATATACTTTGGCTAGCTGGCTCAGTTTTTAACCCAAATACCCAAATGACTCATGTTTCCATTTTAATGCTTCAGTATCTTTGTGACATCAACATACAATAGTAACCATAGAGTGCTCAGTTGTAGGTATACAGAACAGACAGATGGTCAAAGAATAGCAAAAATAGACATCAGATTATACAGACGTGACTAGTAAAGCAAACAGTGGTCTCTTCATTTGCCAGGTTGGCATTTGGAATTTGATAGCAGTGTGAATAAATAAGGTTCTGTTTTTCTTCTCATCACTCTTTGCAGTCGGTTTTCTTTTGGTCAGGGAAGGCACCAGTGATATAGCCTAAACTCTTTAAAACCAGATCATTTATATTTTGAGGATTCTTAGATATTTTGTTGACAAGGGGTGGGGTTATTTCTTTCAACCACCTCTGACTTCTGCCTGAGAAATAAGTATCACATTTCTCTCCACTGTGAAAGCTTCTCAATTAGAGTACATTAGAGTTGTCTTTTAGTTCTGGTAAACAAATGTGTATGTATTTGATGACAGCCTTACTTATGAAGTTTCTCAGACTTTATCTTCCATGACTCATAGGAATTATTTTATAAATCAGATTAGCTGAGGACATTTGGAAAAATCAATGCATAACATTAAAAAAACTTTTCATCAGGTAGAATCTTTTACATCTTCAGAATAAGTACATTTGCTAAAAAGGGAACAGTAAACACACTCTTATATTTGAGTTGAAAAAATTCAGTGCAATTATTTTCTTAAAAATATCAGCTTATAAAATGATACTTCTCAAACACAAAGCCAACTTAGAGTTTCAAAATTATAACTAACCCAGGATGAGATGCCACTAGATTTCTGCTGGAAAATATGAAAGTAAAATAAGTTAGTAGAAAAAATATTGGCTATGTATATAAAAGCAGGTTAAACGTCTGGAAAATGTTATACGTTAAGAAAACATAAGTTGGCCTTGACCTTCCTTAGAATATATAAATAATAGGAAGTTTTGGTTTCAACTCCTCATGATCAAATTTTGTAGAAGTGAAAGAAATGGCCTCAAATGATCTATTTAAGTAACTATACATGGTATACCTATAAATCTGTATAAATCCATACCTATAAACCTGCATGTGTAACCAACATGCAACTTTCTAGAATGTAGTATGAAATAACTAGCCAGGACTGTAATGAAACTGATCAAGGAAAATTATTTTTTAATATGACCAAGCATATCAGAATGTTCTTCATGAGGGACCCTGTGGAAATCCAGAAAGTGAGGATGTATTTTGAACTGTCACTTCCTAACTGAGGCTTGCAACTGCTTAGAGATCTCACGGTGAGTGACTTTGAACTTTAGTCATCAAAATTGAGCATTGGTGTTTGTTTTATTTATTGTTCATTCCTCATCAAACTGAAAGTAATGAACACACGTGGCAGTAACAGTAACTGGATTTGCATTTATCAGTTCTTCCTCACCCAAAGAGATGAGCAAAGCAAAACAAACTAGAGAGATAAAACCTCCTCGCCAGAGAAGGACTACGGCCCAGTGGTTCTTAAGAAACTGATCTCCCCATCAGCCAATTCCACTAATTCTTAGCTAACTTTTTATTGCTTTCGCACTTCAGAAGGTAAAAGGACATCTTCATCAATTTCATGGAACCTAGAAAGTGTTTTTGTGTAGAGAGATTTTTTTACATTCATCTTTGAGCTACCTGTATAACAGGCAGTTGATAAAAGGTAGCTGCTATTATCACTCATCTCCGTGGCAGTTCATGGCTTTTGAGAAATTGGAGCAGTAATGCCGGCTTTGTTACCCTCTTGAGTTCCTTGTCACTTTGGGGCGGCTGTCATGGGCACCAGGAATCAAGCTGCTGGCCTTCCTTCTTTGGCAGTGTTATCTTATTTGTGCTAGGAGTTTTACCTAATATATCAGCAATATAAGACCTTCTTACCCTTGAAATTCATGGATGACAATTATTTATCTTTCCTTATCAGACCACTACATTATGTTGCAAAATTTTGGCTTGAATGGTAGCCTAACTCAAAGGCCCCTCTCCATGTTTGGATCGAGATTCAGAAATTCCAAGGAAGATTATTCCAGCTTAGGCCAAGGGACCTGGGGAGGCAGGACTGTGGCTGGAAACTCTCAAAATCAGGCTGACTACTTCAAGTTAATTGGTATTCCCCCTGCCTGCTGTAAGTGCCATAAGTAGATGTAATCGGTTGAACACTGTGTATTTCTGATTACCAGAAGTTAAATTAGCAAGTAGGGGACTGCCTGTACTCAGAAATTATTTCATCAATAAGTTTGATAATTGCATTTTCCCCTCACATTAATCGAAATGTTTTAAGAAGTATCTTGCTTCAATTTCTATTTGGTAATTTCAGAAAACAGAATGGAATTTAGAAGACATTTTTTTCCCTCAGACCTGGTTATTCTGGAAATCATAATCCAGTGAATATTGGAGTTTTCCCAGTTTCTCCTCTTCTTTGGGTTCTTCTTTTTCTTCCCCATCAGTCAGTCCGGTTTCAGCATCGTCATCCTTCAGGGCCTGTAAGTAGGGAAATGGATTGTATGTGAATTCAAGGGAATTTTCATCAAAACACAAATTAAATTGTGCCTGTGGTTATACTTCCAAGCTACCAGAAGCAAGCACTAAAATGCTGGAAATCTCATTTTGTCTGACACACATTCACATTTGCTGCTTACATAGTTTTAAAATTCCATTTGTGCACGGAATTTCCCCCCCAATCAGCAAGCAACATGGAAGCAATGGAAGAAGCCCCTCAGAATATTGCAAGCAAAAACCGTAAATCTGTTGCAAAGAAAATGTCATCTTGGAGTATTATATTTGGCTCTGATAAAACTGCTTCTTTCAG